CCGCGAACCCTGATGTTTGGAATGCTTGGTGGTCATATGACACAGCCTCGTACATGCCAGACCTGGCTGTCGTTGGATCTAGACCATGAAAGGAGGCTGTACTCGCAGCAAATACTTGAGCAGTATGAGGCATGCCGTATGAAGAGATGCTCGTCGATGGCGTATTATGCGGTGTGTAATGAGGCGAATTGTGTGCTCTTGGTACCTGTTGATATCCATACATAAAATCGGCGTTTTCCAAAGACGGCGAAGAAGACTGCTGATGGGTCACGTAGTTGTTGTGACTTGCCAGATTCATAGAGGTCGACCCGCCAAACGAGGAACCTTGGTAAAGAGGTGATGAGACTAGATGTTCATCTCCCAGGTACGAAGGGTGTGCAAGCGGCTGAGGTTTTGACTTCGATGTGATTTGTTGTGGTATTTGTGGCGTTTTAAACTGTCCAGCGGACGATGCGGAGGTCGATGAGTTATAATGTGCAGATATCTGAGTCGCTCGACCTTGGCTGAAGTAATGTTGTTGGTGGTCTCTACCATCTTGGTCTTCCATTGCCCAAAAAGGCGACACAGCAATGAGCGCCAGGGTTTCGGGAACATATGGAGTGTGCTTGGATGGGAGTTGGTCTCCGGGGTTCAAACTTAAGAGCGATGTGAATCTCCACGGAAGAATCTAGTGCTCAGATGCTGCTCGAAAATGTAGCCACTATGAGGTGGGCTCTCATCAGATACTCAAGCCCCAACAAGTTGGAGAGCTGGATAGGAAGCAAGTCGAATCACCTCGCTGGCACAAGATGCCGAGATCAGGAGCTTGGAGTTCAACAACCAGAGACGGCAGGGGGTTGGGGAGCTCTTTCGAGCCTAGGCAAGAACGGCGCAAGGACCGTATTTTGAGGCCTATTTGCTTGCTTTCTTGACAAGATCGGTTGTGGAGACGGCTGCGATTAGACTTTGGTGACTACGCATCCAAGCCTCATGTCAGCAAAGAACAGATATGTTTTTTACAACATCTGTAAGGCTATTGGTGCAGTGGGGGTTGTGAACTCAGAGGGTCAGCCAGCAGTGAGAAGGAAATGTTCGGCAACCGGGCCGCAACAAACTATCATCAATCAACAAAAGGTTGATGCGTGTGTCAAGTGTCAACCAGAGACATACTATATCTTGACGACAGTGTTGAGAACCGGAGTCGGTTTCTGGCTCAGCTAGCACCGAGCTGAAACACTCCATCCTAGCCAGAAGCGCAAACTTACCAACAACTCTTACTCGGAGAACACGTCGTCAAGGTGTGGCTTGCAGCAGTGCTGCACTGACGTGATGTGAGGCATGACAGGTCTTTGTCAGCCGAGCCAAGAAGGTAGCCCAGCCCATGCAGCCTATTTTCTTCCGCACGGCAAGAACAGGTGCAACCACGTGAGTTGATCACCAAACGCCAGATCGGTGATTCTAGTATAGTGTTCCTCTCTGACACTGGCCCTGACGATTGAAGAATGCTCGATATTGCATTGAGCGATGCGTATATATGCGTAGCTACGCAGATGCACTGCAAGAAGGTCAATGACGAGTGCATTCGGCAGTTCAAGCACAGGCTCATCTCCTTTCATATGTAGCTTGGCATGGCATTGCATCCTGAAAGTGCTGTGCTATTTATTAGCTCTACCACATGTACATCTTCTCGGTGGGGTCTACTGGGTCGACTCGGGCAGGCTGGGCGGTGCGCTATAGTGGTTCCGCTCGTTCTTGCCGCAGGAGTACGCCCTGAGCCAGGCTTCGAAGCAGAAAGTTGATGACTCAGCGATTGACTCGATTCTCCAGCATCAGCCATAATCGGAAAGGTTTTAGGAGGTTGGGATTGATAAGTGTGGCGTGTATGGACCTTCAAGCGCGGGAAATGGCTGTTCGAAGACTTCCCTCCGAGTCCCCAACCACACAGAGCGTCCTACTCAAGGATGTGCACCGTTCCTCGAGCTACGTGGCTTGCACATCTGTTGAGAGCTGGAGCGATACCGACTCCGCTTCGAGCGCCCCAGTCCTGTAAAAGGCCGGGTTGAATGCTCATGGAGAGCCGTGGACAACGGTCAAGGTACAGTCTACGAGCGCTAGCGCATACAAAGTGCCGTACGGAACTCATCGGTCCGGCCACACTGGTGTCTCGAGAATCCTACTCGGCTTGCGACCAATAACCAACACTCTTGACTCGTTGTGATATCAAAGACGGAGTAGTGTCCGCATACGCGTTCTATAGAGTTCATGCCCGCTGCCCCGCTACATGTGGTGTGCCTCTAGGGCTATTCTCGCAGCTTCCGCCTCTAATTAACCCAGAAACGTATCAACTACCGACGACGCTCTGCAGAGTAGTTCATGTGATCTTGTGATTCCTTCTTGCTGTACTGGTCCGGATTATCCGACATCGCCATGCGAAGGAGCCTTTGAGTTTGCAAGCTCGTGCTTTGCCAGACCACCTGCCTTGCTAAACGAATATCATGCAGCCAAGTTCGTGGCATCTCGACTGTCCAGCTGGGCAGTCGCTCGTCGACATGTAAGGCCAACCCCGGCCTTTTCAGATGACTCTGATAAGACCCGTTGACCGGGAACAATTCGAAAACATTCCCCTTGAGCAATTTGGCAGAGGATTTGACAACGCTTGAGGTTGAGAGCGCCCAAGTCTTACGGCCTGCTCACTAGATCCTTGCCAAAGCTTACGAAACAGCAACCGAGAACGAGAGACAAGAATTCGACAGGTCGCAAAACCGAACAAGGAATAAGCAAGCTCGCAACCCCGTGAATCCTTCTCATCTCTGGAGCCCCATAGGTTGTCAACAAAAGGACTACCACAGCTACAATACTCGAGCGCATCTCTTCCTAAACTCTAATCCCGCCATGCATGTTTGGGGGCCCACCATCTGCGATCGCGCGCATGCATGCAAGAGAGATCGAAGGAGACATCGCAACTTTGAGGTTCAGGGATTCGAGGGCCAGCTTCCATATCGCAAGATGAAGTCCGTCTAACCGTGAAGCCTATCATAACTTCGACCCTCCTTGCAAGACGATAGTCGCGTACGCCATGTTAAGGGTCTATTGAACCGCCATCGCGATCGATTGGTCGGAAAGAGTTCCCCGTGTGAGCTGTGTCACAAGGCGTAGGCAATCGGTTCAAGACAGATCCTACCTCACTTGGCCTATTCCCGGTTACTCGTGATCATTTCTCGTGATCTTTGGAGTAAACGCTACTTCACAGTCTCGGACGACGATGACCCGAGCCGTTCTTTACTTTACTCGAATTGGAATGAAACGAAACCGAATAACGGGTTGGCTCGAGTGCTCGAGTTCATAACTTTGGTATTCATCATGATATTCTTGGACTTTATCAGTTCCTTTCTTGACCCCTCCCCTGTGTCTCATATCCTGCCTCGGACGCAAGGTGATGGCACCGGGCCTGGCTAACCTTCTGTTGAAGATCCCACGCCGACGTTCTTCGAGGGCGTGACGCTCCCTACTCAGAGGGGCGTTTTGTGTTCTTCCGGGTTTCGTTGAGAATTTTATGTGCGGAAAATGACTCTTGTGCGAGTTGTTCATGCGTTGTAGGTCTGCTTGGGGAAGGGGTANTCTGTGGTCATGTCACGTCAGTTCTGGCTTCAGAAGTATATTGCAGAGGTGGAGACGTACGCGGGACCCAACTCCTGGATGCTCAACTTGGCCAACCAAGAGCCCATGTCGACACACTTCTCGATGCTCTCGCCCTTGGCCATGCCGGCAAGGAAACCACCGGCAAAGGCGTCACCAGCACCAGTAGTGTCGGCAATCTCGTCCTTGCCAATGACGTGGACGGGGAAAGTCTTGACGTCGTTGTCGCCCTGGACGGCAATGACGGTGGGCTCTGTACCCTGGGTGATGATAACGGTACGCTTGCGCTGGGTGTTCTTCTTGGGCAGATTGGCCATGTGCTTGGCAATGGTGGGAATGTCCTCGGTGTTGAGGTCGTGCGAGGCAGCGAAAGAGCGAGCCTCGGTCTCGTTGCCGACAACGTAGTCCCAGTAGGGGGAGGTTTGGTCAAGCTGGTCCTTGAAGAACTGGGGAATGAAAGGAGCGGAGAGCGAGAGCATGAAGACCTTGTTCTCGGCAGCGGCCTCCTCGGCGAGAGCCAAGATGGCGGGGACCGAGACGGTCAAGTGGTAGCCACCGACGAAGTAGATCTTGGCCTGCTTGACGAGGTCCCAGTTCTCCTTCAAGTGCTCGACCTTGTAGCAGTTGGCAGCGGCGAGGTCGGTGCACATGCTACGGTCGTGGCCGGTGATGATAACACCGCAGCGGCCGGTGGGCTGCTCTTCGTCATAGCGGTAGACGGCACGGAGGCCGACCTTCTTGTTGGCCTCGACCAGCTTCTCAGCATACTTGTCCTTACCGACGCATCCAACAAAGACGACCGAGTCGGCGGGGAGGATGTACTGGGCACCTCTGGCGGTGTTCTGAGCGGCGCCACCGGCGTTCAGGTCGACCTTGTAGTTCTGGAACAGGTCCTCGTACAGGCCCATGTGCTTCTCTTCGGCTAGGATGGCATCGTTGGACTTGAGTCCGTACTTCTGGAGCAGCTTCTCGTCGCCGACGGCCTGGATATCCAGGAGGGGGTTCTCGAGGCAGAGGATCTCGTATTGGCCAGACATTGTGATATGCAATTGATGTGCAATTGGTGTGGTGTAGGAAAGGGAGCGTTGCTGCTTGCTCCAGATTTGCTGAATCCTGACGTTTACCATTCCAGTCTCGGTGGGGGCCCCGACGCCAAGGCCGCCCCTCTCAACCGTACAGGTGCCTGAGGAAGAACACGCTCTCAGTCATCGGTGGATAGGCATGTGAACATCGGGTTTCATTGCTCGTCAAGGCAGGCACAGATACATATGTACAATCTTCTCATCTGTCCTTGTCCACTGCCTCTTCGCCTTCGTTAGCAATTTCTCCCCTTCATCACAGAAACGAATCGAAATTACAACCGTCTTTCAATAAACCAACACTGACTAGAAATGATAGTCTTCTCCGCTCTTGCTAATGACAAACTCACAGCCGAGCCTGCCGAATCCTTCGAGGCTCAGAGCATCAGCGTGCTCGTTGAGCTGCATCAGTATGCGTTCACCTACATGTGGCCCGTCTTCCATCGTGTCCTTGATGTGGATGATGACCACCTTGACGCCTTGCAGTGGTGCATCTACGGGCACAGGTGTATTTCTCTCCGTGCCCGTATACTCAGGCGTGTTGGCTTGTGATTCTTCTTCGGGCACCATCAAAGGAAGACTGCCGCGTCGAGGTTGCATGCTAGACGATCTGGTGATGACGCTCTTGGTCCGTTTCTTATTGTCGGCTATGTCGTCCATCGTTATGTTCAGCCCGTTCGAGCTTCGCTTTCGTTTCCGTTGGGCTCTATCCAAAGCTCTGGCAGCCTTCTCGTCCTTGACCATCTGCGCAAGCGTCTTCATCTCAGCAACAACATGCCGCGGTGCAAGGTGTCCGAACAGTACAGCATCTGGTTGACTGTCATCGTATGAACATTCGATGAAGATGCCCCCNAGTATTCCCTCGGCTATCTTTGGTGCTGCTTCTGCCCATATATTGGCCAAGCGTGGGACACGCGATATGCTGTCTGGTTCGACGTCGCCAAAAATCAACACCTCCTTGGACGTCTCGTAGTCTCGGATGAAGAAGGCAGTGCTATCCACTACCGAGTGTTGTGGTGTCGGGTCACTGGTAAAACTCCTTCCATGTGGGCCAGGAGAATAATAGTTGTGGCCTGGAGTTTGTTCGCCCGGTGTCCCAAAGACATGTGGTATTGGCAGATTCCGGTAATCCGATCCCTTAAAAGCAGAGTAATCCGGCTCCGAGATGCTGCCCAGCGATCCACGCTGAGAGCGAGTCGGTTGTGGCTCCTTCATGCAGTTGCCGTGGCTGACTTTGAAGCCTTTGACTCCAAGACCGTCACACACCTCGATGTATCCCCTGCCCTCTCCTGTGCCAACCATGATATCACCACCTTCTCGTAGCCTCTGGAAGCTGACAAAGCCAACTCCTCCATCTTCATCTGTCAGATTGGGCCATATAACGTCGTTGAAGATGTGCCTCTTGATCGCTTCAACGGTGAAGGGTAGGGCTGCCAATCTTTTTGGTCGCGATGTGGCATGAAAGGCGGCTGTGTTGATGGCGAAGCCCGAGAGATGATCGAGGTGGGGATGTGTGATCAGATAGGTTGAGACGTGCGCGCGTACGACATGAGCTGCATTGGCGCGGGCGGAGGCATGCGGGAGAGACAGGCCGGCGAAGGGACCGTTGTCGAGCACGATGGGTTCTGGTAGTGTCTTCGGATGAATGGGATCCCTAGTCGGCGGTGACGATGTGGGAGACGATATGCCATCGGTTTCCGAGTGTTGGGGAGGCAGCTCCGGCGCGGGTGCCTCGTTGGGGAGGTTCTTCTCGAAGATGCGGGTGATGGCGGCGAGATGGGAACCGGCATCGACAGCGAGCAACGAGCCGCGAGCCCAATCGGTAGCCGTCGACCGCACCAAGAGACCCGTCACATTGTCTTCGCTGGGTCCTCCTCCCGAGCCNCTAGAGGGAAATGGTCAGATCTGTGGGGTAGCACTGTCGCGTGGGGAACATGGAGCGCCTACAAGACAGATGACCTGGATGGCTGCTTTGTTCGTCTGTGAATGTCTCGGCTTCATGTTGAGAAATAGCGACATGCCCGTGCCCCGTCTCGGGCGGGCGCTGGCCGGCGGAAGTTGCACTGAGATACGATCTGTGCGAGTATGCGATTGTTCGAGAGTCGCCCTAGGTTCGCGGGCTTGCCTAGGCCTATGATGTCGACGTGCGTGCGACCACTCGGTGCTGTCTTGCAAGGTACTCGAAGTATGCGAAAGGAAGAAGACAACGTCGGCTTGCGCTACCAGCCTGCTTCATGGTTAATCTAATGCGACTACCTGTCCGTCCCACTAACTCTTCAACGGCTCGTCCACCGTTAGACGCAAGGTGCGAGCTGCCCGGTGATGCACAAACGAAGGCAGGCACCAACCACCGTCGCCAAGCTGATCGCGGCATCCCCGAAATCTAGAGCGCTCAACTTTGACAAGTACCTATATTTGCATCGAACGTTGACAGGAGCTCCACAACGTTGGATACACGAAGGGGGAGTTAGAACGAGGAAGAAAGACCATACAAGGTTGTAAAGAGTGAGAATAATTAGATAAATTCCATATCATTGTCATTGCTATACTAGCTTGAACGTCATGTGGACTATGTACAGTAGTAATAATATCAGAGGCTGGGTCTTGCTCCACATTCTGAGCAGGAACAGAAGTAGTGTCGCCGAAACTTTTTTAGAAAGAGGATACAAGTTTGTGCCATAACATCTTGCGGATCCGTTGGTTTTGGTTGTATCTGGCATTGGCTCCATCCGTGACCGGCCATCGACATGTGAACATCCTTGTCCGTCGACGGGAAGTTTGCATACGAACCCGGACGTACAAGCTTATAGCTTTGCACCCTGACTTCTTCTCTTCTCCTTCTCCTTGTCTCTCAGAAGACGACGCAGAATCTTGCCCGACGGTGACTTCGGAACAATGTCGATGAACTCGATTCCGCCTTTCAGCCACTTGTGCTTTGCCTTGTGTTGCTCTACATGACGAGCGATGTCCCGAGCGACCATCCTGTCGGAATCTTCAAGCCCGACGGAAGGAGATTTGACGACAAATGCCTTGGGCACCTCACCCTCACGGTCTGACGGCACGCCAATAACGACGCAATCGTTGACCGAAGGATGTGTCAGAAGATGAGCCTCGAGCTCCGCGGGAGCCACTTGTAACCCCTGGACNAAGGTCAGTGTCTGTTGAGCATCGCGCCACCAAGCAACACTTACTTTGACCTTGATAAGCTCCTTCAATCTGTCCACAATGAAGATGTGCTCATGGCCGGACTTTGGATGCTTTCTAACGACAGCCTCGTCTCCAGTCCTTAAGTACCCATCTACGAATGTCTCATCGGTAGCCTTCTGATTGTTGAGATAGCCCAGGGTGATTGCTGGTCCTTTGACCCACAGCTCGCCTGGTGTGTCGAACTTTGTCACTTCCTCACCTTCAGGCGTGACGATACGTGCTTCAATACCTGGCAGCAGGCTTCCGGAAGATCCGAAATACACATCATTCGGAATTGTGGAGCATACCACCGTTGCACTCTCAGTCACTNNATGTGGTGGTCAGTATCTTTTTGTCCAACTCAATGGGTACTAAGACTTACTTCCATAGCCTTGTCGGATGGCCCATTTCGGGAACATAGACTGCAAGTCCTCTGCTGTCTCCTCTCCTAGTGGTGCTGCTCCAGTAAAGATGCTCTTTACCGAAGAGAGATCATATTGCTTCACTATGTCTCGCGACTTGGTCATCGTGATGATGATAGGCGGCACGAGGTACAAACAAGCGATCTTGTATGTCTGTATCTTCTCAAGGAAACTCTTGAACTCAAACTTGGGCAGTATGATGACACCATCACCCCGATACGCTCCTAGATGTGCGATGACTATCAGAGCATATATGTGGTTGAGCGGTAANCTGCGCAGATTAGTATCCATCCCGCAAAGATCGTTGTCAGCATAACTCACCAGCCCAAGGACGTTCTCGGTATAATCGGATTGGTTGCCAGGCTCTATAAGCGTCTTTCTCCATGGATCCTCAAAAGTTCGCATCTGAAGGACATTGGCAATGACGTTCTTGTGACTGATCATGACTCCTTTNCTGAATCTCCAGTCAGCATTAAACTCTCCGACCACAACCAAGGAACCACATACTGGCAGACCAGAGGTACCGGAAGAGTAACACAGAAACGATGTCTTCTTCGCGCCGTCGCCTTTGGACCAATTCAACTCCTCCAGCTTCGGCAATTTTCGGCCCTCATCAATGAGTTGGTCAAGGGTTTTGTATCCATCTCTTATCTTACCAGCAACAGATTCGGGTACTTCGAGCAAGTAGATTCGACTTTCAGGAATCCCTACAATCTTTGCTGCTTGCAATGCTAGGTCCAGCAACGGCAGACAAGTGAAGAGACATTTGGCACCGGAATCGCGAAGCTGGTGCTCTAGTTCCTGGACCGTATACGCGGCATTGGCTGGTGTTTGAATGCCACCGATGCGATGAGTCGCCCACGCAAGAGTCAATGTATCGATNCTGTATAAGGTCAATTGACTGGCATCAAACTCGAGCCGTGTATACTGGGTGCTTACGGTGTTGATACTAAACAACCCGATGACCTTATCCCATTCAGTTCCTTGATTGGGAAGGAAGCCCAGCTCTTGACTCAATCCTCTGGCCAGGAAGTCGACTCGCTCTTTCACCTCCAAGGCACTGTACTCTTTGCCTGTGAGCCCGCAGGTGAATGGTGGTCGGGAGTATCCCAGAGGATGGCGTTCGAAGTTTTCATCCAGAATGAATCTGTCTACCGAGATGGAGTCTGGTATGTCGAACGGGAGTTTGGGCACCCATTCTGGGGCGTAGAATGGCATTCTGACAGATTGGACGTGGAAATTGTGGGAGTTGACGAACGACGGCACACAGGTGGTTTTGGTCAAACCAAGCGCCGACAATTCGGGATTGTATATCTACCTCGGTCTTCTCAGCCTTCTCAGCCATTATTGCGATGACCGCAACCATCAGCGCTTGTTTCAAGCTGCCTTGTCACCGAAAGTTGGCGCTTCTCCGCACTCTGGTGCGGGGTTGTCCCAAGGAGACCAATGCACGGGCTCCCACACGCACTTCGGAAGCGAGCTTCCGAAAATCCAGCCCGTCGGGTTCTCGGGTCGTTCTTACCTCGAGATACTATACCAAAAAGACATTGACCTTTATCTGGAACTCTTACCACTAGCAAGACATACTCATCCTCTAGAGACGTCAAACATCAAAGGTACAAGGTCTTTTCACCGCCAGCAGTCTCTCTAAGTTTCTCGCCCCACCTCTGGAGGCAGAAACACTCTTTGACTTTCTACGAAAGTTGCAACTTGACTCATCTCACAATCCATTCATTCTGTACAGTATAATCGTACAATCCTGGTCAGTTTTCCTTCTGCATCTGATCTTCAGGAGGGCAAAGAAGATCGACTTCAAGTCTCCCTTCTCATCGGAAAGACTCCTCAACGATCTCTTTCAAGCCTTCCGAGAGCTGTCACCTTTCACCAAACACATCGAGTCGACTTCGGTCTCATCAGGCATCGTCTAACTCGTTGTCCGGTCTTCTGTTCTTGGTAAGTCTCGAAATAAAACCACTAACGCGACAAGATGCGTCCCTATCAAGCCATCTTGCCTGTTCACGCTGCATCGATGCCCGCCATTATACTTGCTTGACACAAGCTATTCAAACTACCATGTGAACTTGACTAACATCGTGTAGGCAGTTTCGTGCCACGTGGTTCTGCTGTGTTGCACTCATCAGGTCAGCAAGCCTATTATGTATGATGCGGTGTCTCTTGTATGCACATGTACACTACTGACCTAAAACCTGCAGATATAGTGGCTGTTACTGGTTTTCCAACCAGTTTCGGACTACTGGCAAATCTTGCAACCTTGATCCTGTAACCGACTGTACGGGTTGTTTCTGTCTCACGAAGCCGAGGGAATATCACGAGCTCTTGTAAGAGGCCTATCATAACATGCGTTTTCACGTGCTGACTGCTACCAAGATATATCCAAAGACTTGCCTGGAGTCTGCTATCTTGCGCTGTCACAGAGCAGAGCACATACTCTCGTGACGCATCTTCTATTGCACGCGATTACACGTGTTGGCGGTACTCTCTGTTGATAGACTTCAAGTCTTCCACCAACTTTCCCACCTGTCTCCCTTCCCTCTCTTATCATATCTGTCAACATGAACATGAATTCAAGACATGATTCGTTTTACGAATCCCAGGACAAGAGAAGTTCTCTTGGTTTCATGGATCCACCCAGCTCGCCTCTGAGCTCTGTTCCTGGAGATCTTGACTATCAACGAGTCCCTCAGGATCTACAACATATCATGCCTGACAACTCTATCGAAGACCGTAGGTCTAGGCTCTCTTCTGCCTCCAGTAGCGCTGTCATGAGCACCATTCATGTCGCCTCGCCCAACAACACTCTTCACGAGTCTCCAACATTCGTCCGAAGGTCTGAACGAAAGCGCAAAGTCCCCACTCGATACATGAAGGGTGCTGAGTCTGATGATGTCTCACTGTNNCCGAGACACCCGCAACACCTGAGCGCCCAGCAAAACTGAGAAAGATTACGCAGCGCAGGATCACTCGCGACAATCGTGGCAAGAAGACAACGAAATCTGCAGATGCTTCTCCATCTCATCCAAATGAGTCGTACGTGTCAGATGAGGAGGCCGAGGAACCTGTGTCTCCTCTCANAGCAAGTTGGGATTTCGAGAGTTGTCAAGATCAAGGTCAACCCTGAGAGACTTGGTCAAATCCTCCATCCAGCACCTCCTACCCCATCGACTGCTACATCATCACCGGAGCCGATGCTGCCAACCAGCCCTGAGTTTGAGCCTGGGATTCTGCTCCCAGAGACTCAGCCGGTTACTTTGGTTGCTCCCAATCACGACTTGATTGCACTCTCGTTGGTTATCACGAAGAAAGTGCCTATCGAGCAGAAACCAAACCCTCGCGGTCAGCCAGAGATCTGGGCAGAGAGTCGCCACCATCTCTGCGAGAGTCTCAGCGGACTCTATGCATCCTGGCAAGGCTCTTACTACGGCAAGAATGGTGTTGCCAAAGCGTTCATGCTCGATGGTAACGGCCATGCAAGAGATCATCTTGACGAAAACGTCATCATCCTGCGAGCTAGTGGCAGCATGGCAAAAGATGGCGAGAACGGCATGAAACAGCGCGAGGACCAAGAACCAAAGCATCAGTACCGTGCCATGGTCAATTCCATACAACAGCAGAGCCCCGTTGCTGTGATTTGCGGTGACAAGAACAGCCAGGTGCCTAGCAAAATGCCGCACAAGTACAACTCTCTTGACTGGTACAAAGTTACTCATGTTTGGACCGAACGAGACAGATTCAATGTCATCAAGTATCGTCTTGAGAAGCTGGATTCGACCACCGCTGGATGGTGGGTTCCCCAAGGTTCAGAACCCGTTGTCGAGCTCGGAGCACTTGGATCGCCCGTCAACCAGCACTGCGATTCGTGCCGCAGCGATTACGACCAGATCTATCTGTGTGGTTGGATGTGCTTGAACAGCAAATGTGAGAATTTCTGGCTCTTGGCTGATGGCAGTACACCCGACGCTGCGCAGCTAATCTACGATCCTCGCTTCCTGAAGCAGAAGGTCTTTTGGGCCAACGAGCAAGCACCTCTCAGTTTCCGCTTCCCCCCGTATACTACTTCTGCCATCGCCGGCGAAGACTACAAAGCAGAGAATCTTCGCGGTATGACTTGTCCTGAGTGCGGTAAATGCAACGCACGTGTCAAGTGGGAGGGTTGGGAATGCACAGGCTGCGGATTTGAGCACAAGCCCAGAATCACTCCCTTGCCCGCAGCTTCAATCCAGGATCAGAACTACCCAGTCACTGATGCCTATCCTTCGTCGCATGATTCTACTCTTCCTCACGTCAAGATCTCTGTCGACTTCTCTCACAACTACCGCTGGATCACATACAAGTTCAAGGTCTCAGCTACTGAGGAGGGCGAAGTTGTCCACGGTATTGCGAACAAAGTGGTGCGTGAGGAGGTTGGAGGCCCCAATGAGATGTGGGAGCATCTTCAGACCAATTGCCACGGGCTAGTGCGCAGGGAGTTGTCGAACGCTCTCATGAACTCTTTCACCATCAACTATGGTATGCCATACAAGTTCATTGCTGCAGGAGACAGCCTGCCCTTCACTGATGCACCTTGGCCTGTCACAGAAGCTGTGTCCCGTCTGAACTGGGCGGACAGAATGACGTCTGGAAACGACGTCGAAGAGCAAGAGAAGTTCAACGAACTCTATCTGGTCGCATATCTTCAAGACCAATCGATGAGCTACCACGACGATGGAGAAAAAGGACTGGGCTCCACAGTCGCAACTCTTTCCCTCGGCGGCCGAGCTGATATGAACTTCAGACCCAAGGCACCTTTCTACCACGGTATGAAGGCCATTACTCACAATCAAAAGAAAATGACCGTCATGACCATGGATGATCCTCTGCCTGAGTTCCCCAACTATGAGTTGCGCAAGCAGTTCATTGCGGAGATCCAAAACTCCAATCTGTCCGACGATGAAGACAAGGAAAGGCGTGCTGAGATGGCCGTTGCACTTCGCGCTGCCTACGCCTCCAAGAAGAGCCATAGCAAAGTCGATGACTATGTCAAGCTTTCGCTCGGTCATGGAGACATTGTCATAATGCGCGGCGCTCATCTCCAAAAATACTACGAGCACGGAGTCACCCCCAAAGGCCTCATGCGCTATGCACTGACATGCCGCACCGTCTTGCCTGGACACTTGAAGAAGTCTGAGCTGCCCGACTACGAAGTTGACCTTGTTCAGAACGAGTACGATGGCCGCCGAATTGCCAAGTGATGGCAACGAGATCGTTTCCTTGCAGGTCTCTTTCCTCTCCTCTCTTCTGATGCCGACATGCTTCGATGCTGTTGCATCTTTTTGCTGAGACTTGTGTTTTTCTTGCTTCTTTTCACTTTCTTTGTCACTGATGTTTCTTTTTTCTTTAGAATGGAACAGGCGAACGCGTCTTTTGAGGAAACATGTTTTATTGCTGTTCTTTACATATCGGTATGGGTTTGGGGATTTGGGAACGGAGGACATATTTTTGCTTCATGATACTCACGACTTATGAGCTTTGAAAAGTAGCTACTAATCTCAATATGATTTGCTTTCTGACATTGTTTTCTGCCATTGATCGTTCGTGCTGATTCTGGTCTTCTTGGCAGAGAGAAAGGGATAGCGGGTTTGCCGCTCACGACCTGACCTGACCAGACCGAGGTCTCTCGCATGTGTAGGCAATGGTCGGTAGACGTGTGGTTTGATGGTGAGAAAGCACAGCATATGCTCACAGTGTGAAAGGGTGGTCGTCGGTGCCAAGAGGCCCTGCGAGCATGTGAAGGGAGGCCCAAGCCGAACCTCGGCATCTCCAGACAATAATACATCATCTGCCCTGCCCTTAGCTCTGCCTGTCTGCTGCTGCCATTTTCTTGTTGGCAATCCATTCGATCCTCGCAAAAACCACATCACTTGTTGAATAAAAACACGCAGATATGGCCAACCAAACAGGAAAGAACTCGGTCGGTACGTATTAGTGCAATTTGTACAACATGTCTAGATATAATAGCTGACCCTGTTTGGAAACAGCTATCGAGCGTCTCTCGCAAGTCACAACCCATCTCAAGTCGTCAGAAGTCGACTTGGCCCCGAACCGCGATGCCATACTCAAGAAGAGCCCCGACGATATCGTTGTGACAGCTTGTCTGCGTACACCTCTGACAAAAGGAGGCAAGGGAGGCTTCAAAGACACAGCCGCCGCCGATCTCCTCCACGGAGCTTTCAAAGCACTGATTGAGCGATCAAAGATCGATCCTTCGCTGGTCGAGGATATCGCCGTGGGATCAGTGCTGCCGCCCGGTGGTGGTGCAACCGAGTTCCGTGCTGCGGCTTTGGCTGCTGGGTTCCCTGATAGCACTAGTGTGCACTCGTTGAACCGTCAGTGCAGCTCGGGTCTGCAGGCTTGTGTCGAGATTGCCAATGCCATCAAGGCTGGTATGATTGAGATCGGCATCGGTGCTGGTGTTGAGAGCATGAGCAGCCAGTATGGTCCTGGAGCTGTCACCGAGTTCTCCGAGCTGCTCGAGAACCACAAGGAGGCGGCAAATTGCAAGGTTCCCATGGGAGGTTTGTGCCCTTGAATAATCCTCGACATACTGTAATGTCACTAAAACTCTCGACTAGTTCTCTCCGAGCAAATGGCCAAGGACCGCAACGTCACCCGCAAAGACCAAGACGAGTTCGCCGCATCCTCATATGCCAAAGCCACCGAGGCACAGAAGAAGGGCCTCTTCGACGAGGAAATCGCTCCCCTCAAGGTCAAATGGATCGACCCCAAGACCGACGAGGTCAAGGAGATCACCGTCAGCAAGGACGACGGCGTCAGAGCAGGCGTGACGGCCGAAAGCCTCGGCAAGATTCGTCCTGCCTTTGCAAAAGACGGCTCCATCCACGGTGGCAACGCCTCTCAGATCTCCGACGGCGCTGCCGCAGTGCTGCTCATGAAGCGTTCTACAGCCGAAAAGCTGGGCCAGCAGATCCTCGGCAAGTACGTCGCCGCATCCGTCGTCGGTGTACCGCCATTGCTCATGGGCATCGGTCCCTGGAAGGCCATCCCCGTCGTCCTGGAGAAGGCTGGCATCTCAAAGGATGATGTCGACATCTGGGAGATCAATGAGGCCTTTGCTTCGCAGTGTCTGTGGTGTGCCAAGGAGCTGCAGATTCCGATGGAGAAGATCAACCCCAAGGGCGGTGCCATTGCGTTCGGTCACCCCTTGGGCTGTACTGGTGCCAGACAGGTCAGCACTCTTCTCTACGAGCTAAGGCGAAGAGGAGAGAAGGTCGGCGTCACCTCTATGTGCGTTGGGACAGGAATGGGGAAGNCCGCCGTCTGGGTCGCTGAGTAAACGTAAGACCATCAGATGGCGAAGCGGATCAACGATGAGTAGGATTATGTCAATGTGTAAACAAGCTCTTGTATACCATATTTGGACCGACCGGTGCTTTCCAATCTCGTGCGTTCTTCCACAAAGCAAACTTAGCAACCACTCACAAACCGAACACAACCACTTCTCCAATTATACCTCGTCTTCTTGGGCCCCATGGACCGTCAGGTCCAGGTTCTCGAACTCCTCCTCGTCATCCTCGTACTCCAGCTCATCGTTCAACTCCTCGTCCATCTCATCGTCCATCTCATCGTCCATCTCATCGTCCATCTCATCGTCCATCTCATCGTCCATCTCATCGTCCATCTCATCGTCGTCCTCGTCTGAGTCAAGATGTGCATACCTGGGACCGCACCACTGTGCTAACTTGGAGACTGTAACCGTCATGCCGAACTGTCCAGAAAACCATGTAGCCAGTTGAGCGCGAGACCAGTCTGGATTGGCGAGTTTGAAGCGACGAGCTTCTGCCATCTGGCTGGCTGTAGCGCGCACGGCAGGAGCAGCTCCTGTTTTGGCCCTTATTTTCGCGTTTCTTGCTGCCCTAACCTCGGGTGTTCTTCTCTTTGCGTTTGCTTTCTCCCTGTTCTCTGGTTTTTGTCGTCTTAACTTTTCCTTCATTTTGTACTCCGGCTTCTGTTTCCATTCCTTTTGCTGCGCTTTTCGCTTGGCTCTTCGCTCAGGGTGCTTCAAGTATTCCCTGTTCTTTGCATTTGTGGTAGCACGCTCAAGCGCAAACACCTCATCCAGACTTGAGACAGTTCCATCGAACGAATGAACGATATCTTCCAGAGCGGGCAGATCAACGCGCCTGCGGCCAGCCTCGCTGCCCGGGGCACGGCGGAGATAGTCGGCGAGTTTTGAGTAAGCTTGCTCCATATACATACCTGTCAGTCCAGTCTCACTTAGACTGCTGCAGAGCTGGATTGCAAGAGACACATCGCTACGTATATGCGATATATGCTGTGGCAGGGTTATATGCGAGCTTTCGAGTGTTCCGACAAACGCGTTGGCCGCTTGGGAGAAACTCAAAGTAGAGACAATCCTGATTGCGTAGAACGAGACCATCATCTTTACCAACAGGTTGCTTAGACGGAGGCACTGGCGAAGCTCGATATCTCTTAAAGAGCTGCAACCGGCGTAAACCTCCCCAGCGTGTGGCTGGCACTTTTTGCAATCAGGACGCACGTCCCACCAAAGACAAGGCAATGTTACGATATTCGCGACAGCGGTGACAATCGCGTCGGTAAGGCATGATGATTCCTCGGGTGGCGACTACAGTGATTAGCAAGAGACCTGATCGACACCATCAAACAACTTACATTCTTCGGATCCGAGCAGGGTCCAGCACCGTACTGTGGACAGTGGCCAATGATTGCAAGCACCTCTTGTCCTCTGCAACGCTCTAAAGCGGGTTTGAGTGTCCACCAAAAGTCAGTGATGTTGCTTGGAGGCAGCTCTTCTTCTAGCACTTCCAGAGCCAGAGTACCCGTTTCAACCTTCGCAGTTAGGTCCAGAAGATATTGCTCTCCTGTTGCCCCGTCTTTGTTGCGGAGCCAATTGTCAAGGTCAGTCCTCTTGGTCCAGTCTTTGTCGAAGACACCCCAGAGTCTGTGCTTCATGTCCTCTGCTTGTGCAAACTCGTCCTCAACCAGATCATTGTCGTGCTCAGAACCAGAAGAACAAGAGTCTGAGGCAACCGAATCCGTGTCCGAGTAGCCAGTATGGACTGCTTCGTCGTCGTCGGCATCAGGTGAACTCGACTGGAATCTCGTTTCGGTGAACTTTGATCTGGTCGGGGCTGCCGATGGAGCTGCTGAGAAAGATGAAGCGGTTGAGAGAGCTGAAGCTGCTGAGAAAGATGGAGCTGTGGAGAGAGATGAAGCTGCTGAGAAAGAAGCCTTGCGAGTTGATAGATCGGACGGTAGACCTGAGTGGTTGGTTCTTCGTGTGGTTGGAGCTGCTGCTGGAGCTGCTGATAAGGTGTTTTTCGAGATGAACGAGTTGGATTCAGGCGAAGGAACGTCTTGTTCCCATTCAAATACGTCTGGCGTGTCATCGTATCGAGGCGTTTTCAGCCCATGCTGCTGGAATATTAGCAGCGATCAAGGCTTCGGAACAAGATCACATACTCTCTTCGGTCTTTTCATTGAAGCGTGCGATGAATTGACGGTGCAATGAATGCAGCAGGTCAGAAGAGACAAATGAGGGACTCGTTTACCGTCATCAGGTGCGAAGATGGAAGGCACTCAATGTGCAGTGCACCTTCCGCGACAAGTACGATCACATGTCAACATCATGCCTCTGCAAAATTGAGTCGACGTCGCTCTTTCACCCCTACTATCAAAAGTTTAGCAATAATCAAGGCTTCGACTTGCTGCGCAGCACAAGTCGAGAATCGTATGATTGACAGATGGACATGCAGGTATGGATTAGATGATCATACAAACGCTTGAATCTGGAGGTCGGATTTGGCTATGGACGAAGCAATGATTCGCTCCCCTGGAATTTTGGTATTGAAGTTCCAGTGGATTGGATTCCAGTAGGGCCTCAACCCGAGTAGAGCGGAGTGAATTGATTGCTTGAGGTCTTCGAAAACCCGTTGACGACGTCATGGCCGTGAAATTCGTCAAGCTCGATGTGCAGACCAGCAAGCATGCGGCCCAGCTATGCAAGCAAATCTAGTTGCTGGAAGGGCCAATTGGCGGTATGAGAGGCTGGGTAATGCTTGAGGGAGGTGCTCCGGCACATATTTCAGGCTTGGCACTTCTTGGCTCCGAGACGTCTTTACACCCAGGAATCATATTTTCCGCTGGATCGTCCTCAAGGTTTGCCTTTTGGTCACGGACGAACACCTACTAA